CTCTCTCTCTATATATACCTCTCCCCTTTCCTCATATTTTCCCTCATCAATTTATTTTGTTTCTTTTTTAAACGTTCCTACCTGCTTCCTCTTTTCTTTGTTCTTGCCTTTGCGTCACTTTCCTCTCTTTTTCCTGTCTGTTTTTGTCCTTGTGGTTTGGGATCTGGTTCCTTTGTCTGCCCGTCCTGCCGTCTCTCTGTGGGGAACAGGAACCATCTAAAGGTGAGTCCCGTATAAGTTAACGGCAGGTCGTACGGTCTGTGATGGGAGCTTTTGAGATGGAGGTTTTTGTCCTCACAGTTTATTGTGCAGTCATTATTCTTTAATGATTTGGAGTTGGATGTTACTTTGAAACTGGCTTTGATTCGCTTTATTTTGGAAAGACGTTGGCTTGGTTTTTGGAAATGGTTAGGAAATGCACGGTTTCTGGGCTGGACAAAAAACGTTTAAATACGTATCTAACATATTTTTCAAAGTATCCAATATACAATATGTACTCGCTGTTTCACTGACTTTATAAACGCACAAGAAACTTCTTATATAAACTTCTAATCTTATAAAATATTCTGTATTTAAGTGTATGAAATATTTCATAGTGCAGCACCTTTTGAAAACACACTTTGCAATTTTCTTAAATAATTACTTCTAAGGTTGTTTTGTGAATATTATTTTAAAATGATTAAAACAACACACTCTTCGTGTTTTCTTCACTTAGACAGATTATATATATTTTCTTAATTTGTTCCCACATCTGAAAAGTGACCTATTTACCACATAAAGTGTTTAGTTTTAAGCGACACACATTGTCCGTAAGCGAAACATTTCTTACGCCATGTTTGCCCAACAGCATTTTGTGAACAAACGCAGTCCCCTTCGTTCATTTGAAGGAGACGACTCTTTTGACGCAGTGTACAGTATAAGGAGATATGGCAAAAACTAAATGTACGGTCATCGGGAAAAACGTTGAACTTGGCACAACCGCTACCGCAATGCATTATCGGAACGGTGCTGCAAAAGCCAATCAGATGCGTGCAAAGGAACAGCTGGTCGATTGCTTTGTAACCTAAATGCAAAGGAATTGATGCAATGGAATTGGGAAAATAAATGTGATCTTTCCAATTTGAAGATTCTTGTTCTTGGTATTATAAACTGTGCAATGCTGTTTTGGTTTCAGCCTTCAAACTCATGAATGAATTACTCGTGCACACACAGGACTTTTTGTTACCCTGGGCTATATTGCAGAGGCAAAATGAATCCCGTTAAGTCAGCAAAATCTGGAAAATAGATAGTCCGCCCTCACAAAGTCACCTCGGGCTGATTCTCAGTGGAGCAGCTCCAGACTCTGCTTCCTTTCAGACTGCGTTAACAGATAAAACACCTGAGCTGTCGTAGTGTCGAAGATAACGAGACGTCTAAACTCTGATACTCTGTTAAGGTTTGAATCTGGCTCCTTGCTTTAGACTTGCTGGGGCCTTTCTGTATGGATTTACATGTATCCCCACGTCTTTGTCGCGTATCCTTGGCTTTTGATTTTATCCCAAAGTGTAAAGACATGCTAGTTTATTAAAGTGGTGCAGTGATTAAGTATTTTGATTGGTCAACGAGAAAGTTAGCATCGCAAAGAAAAATAAGCTCTGTGGCAATCACCATTTATCATACTTCAGCAGGATACTCTCCACATATTAACAACATTTTGTGATTTTTGAAGCATAAATGCAGAAGTAGAAGCCAACGGTCACATGACTTCACATCACCACCGCTAAGCTAAAGGTGGCTAATGTTCCGCATGATGACGTTTAGTATTTCATTTAGACACATGTTAGCAATCGCGGTTTAATGACACAAATAGAGGCTTCGGAAAATCACCAGTGGGTTATTTATTGATGTATTTGAATGAAACATTAAAATCTCTTCAGCTTGCGTTAACCACAGACCATATTTAAGGATTCTAAACACATTAAAAAAACTGCTGACTTCAAGGCGATTGGAAATGGAAGCGGTAAATTGCATTTCCGGATTTTTTGAACTGTGAAATTGCTAATATAATGCTTCTTCAGCTAGCTTGGACAGAATAAGCAGGTATAGATAATGGATGGATGGACACAAAGAAAGTACAAAGAACTGTAATTTTCCTAAATCCTCTTTATTTAAAATACATAATGTGATGACAGCTGCTCGTAGGCAGCAAGCATTAGTTTGGTGTTCACTAACATGTAAAGTGATATATGACAGCAACTATCCAGGGCAAACTCAAGGTGGTAAACAGTGATGCACAATGATAAATCTGTCTAGCACATGATACCGTTTTTGTCCGTTTGATTGTATCTGCATGAGAAATACAGTGTACACAGTAATGGAGACCACTTCATATTGCCAACAACCCCTCCCTGGTTTTAAAGCTGCACTAAAGTTCGCCGAAATGTTAACCTGTCATACCCTAATGGCTCAAACCATGCAACTTGAACATGCATGATCACACACAGGCAGTGGTGTTGACATATGGGGATCTCCAAACTCATAACTCTGCAGTTTTGTGCATTTTGCCAACTATTGTCATCAATAAATCACCATTTAATTCATTGTTCCTCACAGCATGATAGTGCTAAATTATACGGTGGCCGACAGGTGCAAACGTGCTACAACGGCCCATAACACTCCCATTAGGAGAAATGCGTGTCACTTTAACCCTTAGATGCATACTGTACAGTAAGTGGGTCTTTTTTGACCCGGTGAGGTGTCTTAGAGTATCTTTGTAATTACATTTTTTTATCATTTCATATTCCAGCTATTCCTCAAAAAACATGTTTTGGATATCATGCCATTCAAATTTTTAATTTAAATTGTATACATTTTAAGAAATTGTAGTTCACATGCATTTTCTATGGGATTTCGTTTTTTTTTCAAAATGTAAAAAAAATGTCTAAAATTATAAATAGTGAAAAATGTAATATAAAATATTTCTAGTGTGAACCAAAATATAATACTAAATATCATACAAGTGATTTTTCTTAACCAAAATGACAATGGGCATAAAAACACATTATTCTAATACGGGTCCTTTTTGACCCACTTATGGAAGAGTGTAGGGTCCAGCTACTCGTGCATCTAAGGGTTAAACAATTATGCAAATATAAAAACACAAATGTGCCAAAACACATGTAAATCAACCTTCTTCCATTTCTCCTAATGGAACCGTTTGGGCCGTTGTAACGCATTTGCCTCTGTCGGCCACCGTAAAATGACCATATTGATCAAGTGTACATCACCTACAATTTAGAAAATAAATAACAAAACGTAAAAAAATACCATCATGAAGTGAAAGGCCTAAACACAGACCTGTTGTTTTTTAAACGTTGTAATAAAGAAGGACTGGCCAGGCCACCAGATTTGACAAAAACATCATAGACACTCAGATATTCAGAAAAGATCACAGACTGCAACATGTAAAAGTGGACATCAAATAGTGATCTCATCATTATTTTTTAACATTTAGGGTGCTCCAACCAAATAAATGATCAAATAAATACAATACATTTCCCAATTTAACCATACAATCACCATGCCATGTTTTTACTACAACAGCCCACATTCAGATACATCACCGTCTTCACAGAGTGAGCTATGTGTTTTCCTTAAAGGTTTATGCTCTCCATTATGATTAGAATTAGTAAAAATGTGTTAACTGTGCAAAACAATATGTACAGTTTCACCCCCTCACCTTTGAGGCAAAGGGAGTACTTTGGAGACAGAGCTAGGATGTAGGCCTTTAAATTATTTTGTTATATATTGGCCCAAGAAACCTGATGTACTTATATGATTCTGTTTTCTTCAAGTTTGTATCTTCTTGGTCGAAAAAGCGTCAGCTAAATGCAATGTAATGTAATATATTAATCTGCTTTAAAATACTCTCTAAAACTTGTTCGTATTGAGGTGCAATTGCTCAGTTTTTTTGTATCTCTATAAAACAGGGCTCCAGTTGGATTCAAGTTGCAGTTAGAATAAAAATACATATAAATTATTTATTTTTTAATAATAAAAATCACTGGAAGTTGATGTTTTTTCATATCTTTCCAGGAGCTAAAAAGTCAAATATGCAAGTACAATATTTACTGTATATCAAAAATGTGAATAAAATCATATAATATCTGATACAAGGCGCCACCTTACGGTTATATAGAGCTTATTTATGGTTTAACTGGCATTGCTGTGCTTTTCTGGGAAACTTAACTACTTACTTTCTTCTTAAAGATATGCACTGTTTGACATGCATGGCAGTACAGCACACTGTAAGCTCTTAGTTAGTCGTGAACGTAAACATTTGATATTTAAACTTGGATCATTTGGTAGTATTTCCTGTAGTGCTTTCTGTAAATGGCAGTAAACTCTTCTGTGTGTGCTATGGGTGGTTTTGGTTACTTGTTAACTGTAACCAACATAGATTTTGTGACTGTGGGTGCGATGTGAGTTTTTCACTTTAAATTCTGTTTGATATGTCTTGGATCTTCAAAAATGTTTTCATGTAGTCAACGATCATTCACTTTCATTGATCCCAAACACACATTTTTTTCTTTTACAGCTAGATTTAAATTTGATATTGTCAATATTAAAGGTCCCATGTCACGGCCATTTCTCCTGATCATAATTCCATTGTTGAGGTCTACTAGAATACATTTATATTGTGCAATTTTCCAAACTCACATTGGTTTCTCATCC